TCCTGTATAAATGTATTTCATTGTCTATAAAAGACTTACCAACATCTTACAAATGGGATTTTTTTTATCCTGATCATTTCTTCCAGCTTAACATTACAAAGACCAAAATGACGGTCTCCTCAATATATATTGAGAGTAAAAGTATATCTATTATAATTTTAGGAAGTTATGTTAAAAAAAAAAACCCTGTGAGCCCTATAGGAGACTTCACTTAGGAATTGCCACCATATTGCATGCCTGCACCAATGTAATAATGCTTCTGCCGCTGCTTATGTTTTCTTAAAGACGTTACATACAAGTTGACAAACTTTGCTCTTAGGTACACAGCAATACAAAAGGTGTTGCAGGGCAATGAACCCCTCGCAGCTGCTACAAGCAGGAATCTGAAGAGCCCCATTCTTATTGAGAATGGAGAACAATTTTCAAATAAGAACTCCACCAAAAACCAACACCTTCTGTTTGCGGAGAAGGCTCCCAATAGGGTAACTCTATATAGTGTCAGTCTTGACTAACAACTTCCATTGACTAAATGCACAATTTGCCTCACAGTCTCAGCACATGTAGAGCTGTTGAGAAGCAGAAACAACTGGATCTAATATTTATTTACCTGTTTCCAGTTAAACTGTCTCTTCATGCTGGTGTAAGCAGTCCCTAGATAACGATTGCCATGGTGCAGTTCTCTGAACTCAATTCCTTCTTACTGTTTAGTGATTAGCCGTCTCAGCCGCTTTGTTGCTGTTTCAACAACCTGTCAAAGCTAACCTTAGAAAGTATTATTTTACAGAAGGAGTAGCTAATGCTTGGAAGAGACCTTTGGCAGGGGCAGTGAGCCCATCAACGATAACTGAATTTATACATGCTTGAGATAAACCTAGATCTATAAACAAAAAATAAAGAGGGGCAGGCTAGATGGAGCACTTGGTCTTTTATGGCCATCACTCTACTATGTCTTTATGTCAATTGAAACAACAGCACCATGGAAACAATTGTCATAGAGGTATCCTGTACCTGGTGCAAGCGACAACTTACAGGAAGCAACACAACAACAGCTGGGTGTAAGAAAGTCCTTCCTCTTTCAAGAGCATTTTCTAAAAAAAGCCCCCTATTACCCTTCGGCCCCTCCTTTAGACTCACCCACAGTATCTTAGTTAAAACACAGAGGAACCCTGCTGTACTTGACTAACTTAAAGGAGAACTATGAGATGAGTGAAAATCACTCCTCCTCATAGTTCGAGCCAACGTGTGACAATGAAACTGTCACACGTCGGCTCAATAGATCGGGAAGTGAGCGAACACATACCTTCACTCGCTCACTACTCGAGCATGTCCCTGCAGAGAGCGGTGACTGTCAGTCACGGCTCCCTGCAGGGGTTCCCCCCTCCCTGCTCCAATCCTCCAGCGCTGACTGGAGGAACGAACGGGGGGAGGGGGCGGGCACAGCTGGCTCTGCCTCTAGATAGGCAGAGCCCGCTGTCACTCACGCAGCTGGGTGGGACTCGACAGTAATGCGGCGGTCTCGGTATACTGCGAGCTGTAGCTCGCGATATACTGAGCTTTGGGTCACAGGAGGAGGCTAGTATATGTCCTCCCGTGACTCTTAAGAGAACTATGGGGAAAAACGCTTACCCCATAGTTCTCTTTTAATCCTCACCAATAAAAACAGCCATTCATATGGAGAAGCAACTGATTTTATGGCTGCAATGTGATACCCAATTTCCGCAGAAGGTGGAATCTAAATCTGGGCTTGTGTGCATGGTAAAATACAGCATCATTTTTGGCATTTTCAGCTTGCATTTGAGATCAGCTTGAGACTTTTCTGAGAAACTTATGAGTCCCGTTAGAGCGATTGTGCCCCCTTTCTGAGCTGCATTTCCATAGCATCGGGAGAAGAGCAGTTCTAATGCGACAAAATGTCCAAGCACTCAAGTCCTTTTACTTCTTGAAGATCAGGGACAACTTAGGAGCTATGTAAGGTCTGCAATGTCTGTCTGTTATCCAGAAAATCCCCTTTAAGCAAAACTGATCTTTGCAAATACACGTCATCACCTAATTGTGATAGATCAGTGAACTTCAATGTCTGGGGGCCTAATCCTTCCCAGTGTAAGCGTAAACGTATCAAAACACCTCCTGCAGCAGGAAAGCCAGTCTAGATCTGGCCGGCATACACAATGCAAAGCTTAAAACCACGTTGTGATTACATCTGCCCGCTCCTACCATAGGAGATTGCTTACAGAGAGACTTCTTTGATATGTGGACTCCCCACGAAAAATGCTTGGCCAAAGATCCCACCTGATAGCCCAACTGCATGCTTCAGGTGGGCAGGAGCAAGAACATGGCGTGGTATCCCAGGTTTTGGGACATTAAAGAGTGGCCGGTTCTAAGCCAACTTTTCTACTGCATGAGCGATTTGGACATGTTTAGGCTGCAAGAAGTTCAACCTATAAAGCCCACAAAAGTAGATTATTAGTGCTCTTCTCTTCTTTTAACTTCTAACTCTCTACACCGACATAAATGTTTGTTTTGGGTGGAGTTCTCTTTAATGTCTTGCCTTTTTATTCTTCTAAAGGGCCCAATTTATTAGGCAGCTCATATGTGACATAAGCACACCAAGCGTCCATGATGTCTTCTGTAAACTCTTTGACTGGCCCATTCTTACCAGCATCTGTGCTGCATCTGTATTTCAGTATGCGTTTCATCTCCTTCAAGCTTTTATAATAATAATTAAAAAAAAAAACAATAACCAAAGCCAGGTATGCGGCTCTCCGAACATATCTTGAGGTCCTCAGCTTCTCTTCCAACCTCCACGCTCTTGTTTATGTCATGTACATAGGGCTCTGGCTTGCAAGCATGCATTAGTTGCATATCTGCTACCTGTCCCATTAGGAAACTTAGACAGCTGTGTCATAAGCGTTAGATATGCTCCTCAAAAGATGGATATCCTAGCACTGAAGGCTCTTCAGGATCTTCTAGCAGTAAAAATTCACATTTTACGAGAAGACAAAAACAAACTAATAAGATTACAGGCATAAAAAGAGGAAATTGGCAAGATTTCCAGCTTGGGGACAGGCAGAGGAGTGATGAGGATAGTAAAGATTATGTTAGGGTAATACTATGCCCTTGAGCTTGCAATGCAAGGACAAGTCAGTGAAGGATTGTGCAGTGTTCTGTTCAGGTCCACCACCTGAGATAATGTTCTGTTTTTGTATTACTGAAGCACAGGGCAGTAAGACAATCAAATCCTCTGCTGAACGAAGTGCTATTATTCATGTATTACAGAGAGAGGATCCCCAGCTGATTCCAATATCAAGGATCTGCTACTTGTGATTATACTCTTCACATACTAGAATGGTGGTATACATT